GGGCGCTGGCGCAGGAGCGGCGTGTGCTGCCACCGGCATCGCTGGGTCTCGGAGGCATGGGGTAGGTGGGTGGTGCCGCCGGGGAGCGTGGTCACCTCCGTGGTGTGGTGGCAGGCTCCTGGAGACTCAGAAGCACCCCAAGAGAAAACAAATAATCAGGGGAACATCAGCGCTGCTGCAGCAGCCTGGCAGCAGGGAGATGTTCCCGCTGTGTTTTTTCCAGTGCTTTGAGAGCAGTGTAGCACTGCTGGGAGATGGGGATGGGAAGAGGAGCCAGGTTAGCTGCAGGGAACTGTGCCCCAGCTGGGCACTCGGCAGCTGCTCTGCTGCCTGCCCCAGAGGATAAAAGCTCGCTATGCTTTATAAATGCAGTGCTACCTGGGAAGGGAGCAGGAGGAAACAGTCCCCTAGGCTTAGTGCACTGCTGAGCACGGTTGCCAGGGATCAGAAAAAGCAATTGAGGGAGCATTTATTTCATACATCAGAAGGCAAAGAAGCAGCTGAGCTGAGGAGTGAAATCTGCCCTTCTGAGCTGTGTCGTCGGTGGGGTGCAGCCCCTGCAAGGCAGGGGGGTGGAGGCAGCAGCCCATTGTCCAGCAATCCCACCTTTCTCCTTCCTCCCTTCCAGAGCCAAGGATCTGAAGAGCCGCTTAGGGCTCCTGCTTCATAAGCCAGAGCTAGGACACAGGATTGGGACCTCCAGCAAGCTGCAGCTGAGCTCCAAGCAGAGGTAAGCCAAACAGTGCCGTGCCCCAGGTTCATCCCAGAACAGGTCTCCATGGACCAGGCTGTCCTGGGGGAGGCTTCTGCCCATCTGCACAGCAGAGAAGGCAGAGCACAGTTCGCCCTCCCCACGTCCCACCCCAGCAGGCAGGGAAGGCGGATCTCTTCCCGGCTCCACCAGTTATAAAATCAGATGAGGGGAACGGTTGCTCTGGCATTAGGCACAAGAGAGCAGGGCCTTAGCAATAGGCAAGAAACCCAGAGGGATTCTCCAGTCCCCGGTGTCACAGCCCAGTGCCTGGGAGCTCTGGGGAGCGCAGGCAGCATTAAAAACAAATATGAAATATTGCTGCTGAAAGCAGGGTGTCCTTTTACAGAGGAGGCTTTGCTGGGCTTGTACTAGCAGAAAAGGCTCTTCTGAGAATCCTTTAGAGAAGCTACCTTGTCTAAGCAGCACTATGGAGCTGAGGTCTGGTGAACCGTCAGGGAAGGTAAAAGAAAGGGAGAAAGGAAAGAGAGCCCACAGGTACGGATACCGGGATCTTGCTTTAGTTTCCTACCGAGTGCTGCTGCCTCCCTTTCACCATCTGCCATTAACAGGGCTGCTTGACTGAAGTCTTGGGGCAGGAGAACTGCTGTTGGTGGGACAGCAAGCCTTATGTCCTTTTGTCTTTTCCAGAGACTCCTCACGAGAGGTACTCGAATGGAGGGAGTCCTTCGACCAGCTCCTGAAGAGTAAGAGTGAGTAGGATCTTGTTTTCTTCTTTTGGTGGGAGCTCATGGGATGTAATCGTTGTGAGCAAGGGGGGGACTGTGTGCCTGCAGCCAGTGCATGAGGAAATCTGATGCATGGGGCTCGTTGCCTGGCTCACGAAGCTGTATCCTTTTCTTCTGGCTGGGTGCTTTTTGGGGGGCACAAACGCAGTCTCGCAACCCCTTGCTGCCGCCTGGGGCCAGGAGCACTGGTGTGGGCACCCCATTGCAGAGCTCTGTCACAGGGAACCGCACACTGTGCCCTGACCGGCCCTGTCTCTGCACTCGGGAGCACCAGTACCTCTGAACCCAGCGAGGGGACCCCTTTTTTTGAGTCCCATATATAATCCTTTGCTTATGCTGGGCTTTACAGCAGGCATACAGAGGCAGAATTGGCAGATTTTAATGCAAAAATAGCTGTCTACCTTAAAAGCTATTCCACAGCAACAGATAGTCCTTCTATAGTCCTAGTTTGCGGCTAGGTGTATTTTTTTTTCCAGCCTTCCTCATATGCTGTGATGGCTAACAGGCATTGCTGGCTTTGTAACTTAATATATCCCTCCAGCCTGGCTCTGAAATCCTTGCTGCAATTACTCTCCCATACTCCTCAGCATTTCACTCTCCCTAGATCTCAGCTGAGGAATAGAAATGAAGCTGTCGCTGCTCGGTTCCTGCAGGCGTACCGAGACGTCAGTGGCTTTCTCCTTAGGTAGAATTAGCTCTTTTCCAAAGCTGTAAAGAAAATACTCTGAAACCTCATTACAGAAAGGTCAAATAAATAAAACCAGAGGATTACTTGTCTGTGGGAAAGGATTTTATTGGAGTCTAGAGGCCAATTAGCAATGTCTCAGAGAGTGGAATTTGCCCAGAGGGAAAGGAAATCTGCAGATTCTGAGCTCCCAGGGCGATGCTCAAAGGCAGCACCGGGTCTGGCAACCATCCTGCTTTGTATCCCACTTTGCTCTCCTGTTAACTGCTCTCCTCCCCCTTCCTTAGGTGGGGTGATGGCCTTCCACACCTTCTTGAAGACGGAGTTCAGTGAGGAGAACCTTGACTTCTGGCTGGCATGCGAGGACTTCAAGAAGACCCGGTCAAAAACCAAGCTGGCCTCCAAAGCCAACAGGATCTTTGAGGAGTTCGTCCAAAGCGAGGCACCCAGGGAGGTGAGAGCACTTTCTGCCTTTGTCCTGTGGCATCAAATAGGATGCAAAAGGAATAAAATATCCCAATGGGTTTTATTAAAGTACTCTCAGCTCAGTGGGAAGATGTGCTCTTTTTCATGAGAGCTTTAATTTCTGACCTTGTGTGGGCTAGCAGCATGAAGGGGTATATAGGCTTGTGGGCATCTTCACCTTCATGTGAAGATGGAGGAAACAATTTTCATCCCCCATGATACAGGAGTTAGCACTGAGTTAACATTTGTGGATGATGCTTCCTTGCAGGTGAACATCGACCATGAAACCAGGGAGATCACCAGGAAGAACCTCTCGGGTGCCACCTCCACTTGCTTCAACGAAGCCCAAGCCAAGACACGCACCTTGATGGAGAAGGACTCCTACCCCCGGTTCCTCAAGTCCGCCTCCTACCAGGACATGACCAAGCAGGCCGCTAGCCGTGGCATCAGTAAGCGATCGCATACCTGACCTGGACACGAACTGGCCACGGTGGGATGAGCCAGGCAACCAGGCAGAGGCTGAGAGGTGGCTTGCAAGGGCTAAGGTCCACACGGTGGGGTTTCGGCTGAAGTCCCAGCATTTTAGCAGGATCCCCACGACCTCAAGTGCTTCCTGCTTCCCACCAAGCTTCTGGGAAGAGAGGTTCTCCCTCCCTGGAGAAGTGGAGCGGGTAGGAACCCGATGCCTCCCCTTGCAGCACGGCTGGAGACCTGCACCACCACAGGCACAGAAATCAGATTTTTGTGGCAAGCTGGGGAAAAAGAGGCTGGATTCCCCTGAGCATCCAAAACCGGTCATCTCCTGCCTGCTCTCAGGACCCCAGCTCTGGCACAGGAGCCTGCAACTCCCACGGTGCCCAGGACAGCTGCTCTGGATCTGCCCGCAGGGCTTTTCCTCTGAGGGAATGGCCAGAATAAAAGTCCAGTGACTACGTGGCATATTCGGCCAGAGGGACCCCGAGCCTGCCTCCTCCTGACGCCGTGATGCTGCTTCTGCTGTGTCCTGTGTATGCCCTGCATCAAAGCTTTGCACCTTCTTCCAGTTCCACGTCCCTAGCAGTGACGTTCTTATCCCTCCCTCAAGCTACATGACCTTTAGATTGCACGTCATCGTAGGTCACGTGCATAACTTTTTGTTATTGTTGTTGTTATTTATTTTATCACTGTTGTTATTATACATATATTTATTAGAAGGGCACTGCTAAAAGTACACACACATCCCTTGCTCCAAGGAGCTTGTAAATTAAATTATTTTAGATATTGTAGCACTTAGCATGCCTCCCACTTTTTCTGTGTAATAACCTGAGAGATGACCAGGCAGATCTGTAACGTGGAGCAAGGTACATGAAGAGCACCAGCAAGAGCTGCAGTCCAGCAAGGTCAGTAGCAGGGTCTATGGTGGCAGATTTCCTGTGAGCTCAGGGGACCACTGGTGGAAGAAAAAAGATGCTTTGCAGTCAGTGCTGGTTCCTTCCTCCCCTTAAAGGTGTGGACAGCATCACGCAGACCAGCAGCTTGTCCTAGGCAGAGAACAGCTATGTAAGCTTCATGACTGATCCTGTTGAAAACGTATTTTTACATGTGGGAGAGGAAACCCAGGGTTTTACCTGGTTTAAAATTTGGTTTGGTGTTCCCTTGGCTAGTAAAACCAGTCTACAGCCACAGCAGTTGAGCCAAGTCCCAGGGAGCTGAGTAAAACAGTGAGGTATGCTGTGTATTCAGCCTCTCGGGGGGCAGCAGGGTATTCCATCAGCTCAGGCCTGAGGGGTGAGCTCTTCAGAAAGCCCTGTTGAGCATGGACCCTGGCAAGCTGTGGATCCAGTTTGGCAGCAAAGGCACCAGCAGCTGTGTGGGTAGGTGATGGGGAGCCCATGGGTGGATGTCCTGTGCTGGGTCATGGGGAACTGCCACCAGCATCCTTTCCTACTGAGACAGCCTGGGGCTGACACTTGTGCCTCCATTTATAACAAAAGACCAAACCTTGAGGTCCTGATCCTGCTGGTCCTCGCTCCCTGCTGAGGGAACCAGCTTTTGCCTTTCCCTGCCCCAAGCATTACCCAGAGCACAGGATCACTCTGGCTTTTTGTGACTGTTTGAGCAGAGCAAGGGACCAAGGACCACTTTGGGAATGTTATTCTCACTCCACTTCCAATTTCCCCATCTTGGTTCTACCTCTGAGCCTTGGTGGGTCCCAGCTGTGTTTACAGGGGGATTTTAGCTGCTTTCTTATTTATTATTTATTTTTACAACTGGAACCACCTTTGTTGTGTTACTGAAGTGAATGATGCACAATGGTCCATTTTCATTACTAACTTGATATTGTCATTATAAAATAAAATGTAAAGAAGAAAATACTGTGAGAACAGTGTGTCTTTTTGGTTGTGGGCTTCCAATTAATTTTTGCATTCTAATTTTGGATGACTTGCAAAGCATATTAAAGCAAGCAAGGGGCATTTACAGTCGCTTTAAATGTTGCAATGTCAGGAACAAAGAAGGAAGGGGAAGACTTGTGAAGATTAAAGCTTCTTCATGGTATTTGGCTTATGGAAGAGAACTGAACAGTTCATAGCAAGAATGAAAGTAGAGGATAAATTTTGAATAAATTGGTTGCCAGGGTGTACGGTACTGTTTGTGTTGCTTGCTGTTTTGCAAGTGCTTTACAGGACTGCAGTTCCCAATACTAATTTAGTAACAGTAAAACACTGCTGTCTTAAAAGCATGGAAGGACTCAAGTGAGAGCTGCTGTTTGAAAAAACTGCCTTTGGGTGGCTGCCATAAATAATATTTGATTTTTACCAATAACTCAGATGATGATTGGTTAATTTACAAGGGGGAAAATTCTTGATATTGGAGAGGATATGAAGGAAACATTGCATGTCGGTGGCAGCATGTTTCTGAGAGCTGAGCAGTCCCCCACATCCCTGTGGGATGTTTTGGGAGGGCAGAGGGGGGTCCGTGGTGTGTGCATCCAGGGACCATGGGAGCACTGGAAGGCTGCACGCAGCATCAGCAATGCAGGGAGGGGAGCAGCCAAGGGTAGCTCAGAGATGTTAACGCTCTGAATAAAAAAACTAAACAAAGCATGTTTTTTGAGCTCTCTTCTTTCTATTTCTTACGTGTTCTGAAGCCAAAATTAACTGGCCTGCGTCAGCAGAGGAGAGTGTGAGCGTACTGGTGAGGAGGAGCTGGCATCACAGGTGACTGTAGCTGAGGAGCACTTGGGTCCCGAGGGATTGCTGTTAGCACCAGCCAGCCTCTGCCGTTAAAAAGCCTCTTACAAGCAACTGCATCTATAACACCACATCATGCCTCTTCCAACACAGCCGTGCAGAGTCCAAGGATCATCGCTTATTGTAGAATACACTGACTCTTCTCCAGCTCTGTTCCCTACAGGTGTCACCCACCTAAGTGGAGGAAGGGAGTTTAATTGTCCCTTTATCTTTTATTCACTATTTCATTAAGCGTGGCCTTGGCTTACAAGACAGGCAGTTCAGAATCACAGCACTCTGTGTGTATGCCTGATGTTAGTGCATGTCAGAGGGGAAAAATGAGCTGAAGGGTGTCCAGGAATTTAAATTCTGTCATGAAAACCTTAGATCAGCAAAACACTCTAGAAGTACATAGAATAAACCAATGATTTGTTGTTTTACTTTTAACTGTACTTTCTAACTGAAAAAAAAAAAAAATTATCTTGCACACCTTGAAGTTAGTTTTAAACTGATTCTCCATTAAAGAAATATTTAAATTGGCCAACAAAAAACAATTAAGAAAAATTTAGAATTAAAACATTTCTGAGAGCCTTCTTTAGAAGGAAATTTGTGCTATGTCCATTCTTGATGCTTGGAAATGGATGGCCCAGGCTGAGCCTCAGCCTTGGCAGTAGCACTCGGACTTCACCACTGAGACTGGAGTATCCCATCTGTAGTGTCGTTGCTTCTCTACAAGTCTGAGGAGCTTCCCAAAGAGACAACTTGATCAATAAAGCCACGCTTGTGTTCAGCGTGTCCTCCGTGCTAATACAACAGAACTGTAAAAGCCTCGAGGGGATAAAAAACCCCCACCCACAAAACTGTGTTCAGGAAGAGGAGCCAAAGCTTCCCGTGAGTGCCTCTGGGCACGGCCAGCTGTGGTTGCTTCCAATAAACCACAGCCCATGTTTCCCAGGGTGGAGGCTGTGAATTTGGAAGCAGCAGAGGAGATTTGAGCTCCGGGGAGTAAATGTGTGGGCTGGTGCTGGCCCCCCCTCATGGGCATCACTCGTTCTTGCTCCAGGGCCAGGTTTCCATGAGCCAGGATGAGGGGTGGATTTATTTGGTGGAAAAACCACCCATTTCCCTCTGCCCTGGGACCCGGAGTGTTCCCAGCAGCAGCTCAGTGGGGTGGCATTGTCCCTCAGCCATCCTGTCTCCTCCTGCAGCTGGGATCCCCACTCTGGCAGCCTTTGGGGTGGCATTAGGGCATGTACGTAAGTGCAGAAGTTGCCCCACAAAGAGGGACATTTGGGAAGGTGAATGTGCATGTAGAGGTGCATGGATGTTGAGCTTTGTGTGCATGCACCACAGCAGATACACATGCACTAAAGGGGCCTACCAGAAAGATGGGGACAATCCTTTTAGCAGGGCCTGTTGCACCCCTGACAAGGGGTGATGGTTTTCAACTGAAAGATGGGAGTTTTAGACTAGATACAAGGAAGAAATTTTTTACACTGAGGATGGTGAAACACCGGCCCAGGTTTCCCAGAAAGGTCGTAGATGCCCCATCCCTGGAAACATTCCAGGTCAGGTTGGACAGGGCTCTGAGCAACCTTCTCTAGTTGCAGATGTCCCTGCTCACTGGAGGGGTGTTGGACTAGATGACCTTTAAAGGTCCTTTCCAGCCCAAACCATTCTATGATCCTGTGATAACCGCCACCATATGCAGGCAAATTCATATGTGTTTGCACATGCATGTACGTAGATCCATGGTTTTTCTTTTTTTCAAAGAGAGTCTGCAAATAAATGCTATAAAATGTTGTTTAAATCTGTTTTTGAAGGAAGCTCCCCAGCAAAGGGGATGCACTGAGCCATTTCAGATGTGACAAACACCTTACCCAGCAGTGTTTGCAGCAGGGTCTCCAGCCCCTGTGCCAACCGCTGGGGAGGGAGCAGCTGTATCACACTGCTTTTCCCTCTGCAGCACTCACTTTAAGGCTTCTGCCTGAAAAAAAGTGCCAGGAATCATGTGTGATGTGTTTCCACATGGCTCATGTCCCTCTCAGTACAATGTGCAGCTAAATGCCAAGGTTTGACAACCTGGTCCAGCTGTGTGCAGGGATTCTTACCTCCCGGGGAACCTCAGGAAACGATACAAAACCTGATGTTAATATTCATGCTTTCTGACAACACTGAGGGCAGCACTGGGCTCTGCAACCCTCCTGCCTCCCCAGGGCTGGGATGCAGGTGTTGGATGGCAGCTTTGACCCCATGCAGCTACAGCCTTGGATCAGCTGGCAGGGAAGAAATGGAGATGAGAAGCAGCTGGAGGAACACTGTTAGGTGTTCCTAGCAGAGTTCCTAACGTGTTAGGACACGTTACAGTTACACGTGACAGTGTTCCTAACCCCTGCTGCTCGGGAAATGCATTTAAATTTGGGTCCTCGGCCTGGCTTCTTGTTTGACCTGGTTTGGCTGATGTGGGCGTGCTTTTGATGGACTTCCTCTGCTCTCCTTGCCCAGGGTTTGGGACAGGGTGCCCTGCTAGGTGAGTTCCCTGCCTGCCTTGCTGTTGCCCTCACTTCTTCTCAGCCTGCTCCTGCTGGCAGATGTGCTGGTCTGTTCCTGCAGCAATGGGGACTGAGCAGCAGTCTAAAAAGCTAGCAAATATAGGTTAAAAATGTAAAAATACTCTATAGTAAGGTGAAATGTGGTTGATGCTCCTGAGTGGATAATATCCTTCTGGGCACAATTTTCCAGGGCTGTGTTCCAGCACTGAATGTTGCATCAGCATTTCCAAGCATATAAACCCTGGGATATTCCACTTTGGAAATATAAGGAAGCAAGTGCAGGGAACATGAAGAAAAAAGCCATCCTACTATTCATAGCTACTTTTAAATTTAAAAATTATTTTGACTTTGGCAGGCAGTTTTTGTTGCTGTATTTTAACTCATGTTTATTCATGCCAGGGCACGGATACACGGAGATGTTATCTGATGGGGAGGGTTGCAAAATGGGTGTAGGTCCAACAGGATGGAGGAAAAGGAAGATCTGTTTAATTGTGCCCTTGATTTCCCTGCTGTGTCTCGGCAGCTGGTCCCCTGAGTCCCTGTGTGCTGGAGCAAATAAGGACTCTGTAGAATTGCAAATACAGCAGGAACTATGTAGCCCAGAGGCTATGGGAATGGTTTTGGAGAGGAGCAATGTGGCTCCCATGCTTTAGAAAACCTCTGAGGTCTTTCTATTCCCCATAAACTGCCTGTCATAAGGACTAAGAGTTTAAACTTCAGACTCTATGGAAATCAATTTGGATCACAGATGAGAGACAGGGAAACTGTTACCAGCAAACCTCTTTGATGGGGTACAGGCACAGGACACTTCTGCCACAGCCCTGCCAGCTGCAAACACTTCATTGCTAGCCTTCTAGGGTTTGGGCTCCCACCATAAGAAAATAAACTATTTTAATTAAATAAGCAAGCTGAAGAAGGCTTTCATACTTGGGTGGCTGGGTGATGTGGTATTGTTATGTACTGTAACATTGACTTTTTTTGGATGTCTTTATTGTTGGCTCTGAGCCTGTGACATGCCCCTGCTCTGCTTGTCTCTTTTCCAGCCTGCAAATGGGTAAACACTGGCAGCTAGAGCTCCAGCTCTGGTCAAACTGGGAGAGATGCTGTTGAGTTCAGCAGATTTCTGTGAATTAAAATGGGATCTTGAGATGATTTGAGATCATTCCCTGAGGAACGATCTCCCTGATATCACTTAAGGCCACCTAGGACTAGTTAGCATGGTAAAAAATCACACCCCTGTAAGGAGACCCTACATGCTAAAGTCAGATTGCCTTTGTGTAATGAGGGGCCACTAATTGGAGCGTGCGCAGAAGGGCAATAGTTATATAACTGAAAGGTGACCAGTGAACAAGTATTGTGTCACTTTTTGTTTGTTGTAACCTGTATAAAACCCTGCAGCCTCTCTGAAGAGCTGTGCAAGCTCTGTGAAGCGTTGCCTGGCACCCCTTTCTGTACAGAACTGCATCCAAGGTGGCATTTAGGTACAAAGATGGGACTCCTGCACAAGCAGAGCTGTCGTGAGTTGGCACGCAGATGTGAGCAGCAACGCAGGTGTACCTGAGGGTTTGGATGCATGTCAAGCGTGCAGGTCTGCATCCGTGCACCCCTTCAGGGTGAGCTTTTCTGCATTCGTGCCCTTGTGTTTGCATCCAGCCACATCTCCTTGTAATGCCCGGTTTGTGCATGTGCCAACACACTGTGGAAAGCCAGGCGTGAATTCACTGATGCCATTTCAGCCCTGTCTCAGGTGTGAGCTGACTCTTGCAGCTGGCACAGTCTGGTGCAGGTGCCTGGGGAGGTTGAGTGGGCTCTGCATGCTGGTGAGCTCATCTTATGCTACAGGGTGGTGGGGGGAACTGGGTGGCATGTCGTAGCCTGGGTTCCTTCATGTATTTCCTGCACACACCTTGCAGGTGGAGAAGAAGAGCTGGAGGCCCTCGGGCAGCGCCATCTTTGCACAGGGGAGGCTGGTGCCCAGGGAAGTGGGCAGCTGCCTGCTTGCCGGTGCGGGTGTGGTTAGGAACACTCCAGCTGTGGAATAAATGGACCTGGAGCTCAGTGTTCCCTTGGGGAAGCTGCGCAGCGTGGCTGGTTTCCTCATGTGGATGGGTTTACCAAAAGGTGAGGAAAAGCTTAAAATAAAAACCCAACTCAGACTTCCACCCCTCAGAAAACCCTCCAAAGCACTGGTTCATTTAATGTCTTTGTGCCTTCAGCTCCTGAACTACTGCTGAGCTTTTGTTTGTAAACAGGGTCTATGTCCATGGGACTGTATGGGGAAAGCACTTTGCTCACGACCTCTCTGCTGTGTGCTAAACAAAAAAAGTTACCAAACACTCCGCAAAATCCACAGCAGCCCTTCACAAAGTGGATGACATGCTCCCAGGGCTGCTCAGTCACGGGAGGGGGCAAAATATACTTGCAGACTTTGCCGGGAAGCAAATACTGCCTGGAGGTACTTGCTGGGAAGCAGCAGTGAAGAGCAGCTGCTGAGGAAAGCTGGTTCCTGGCTTTGGAGGCGTTGGAAGCAGCGGCTGTGTAGCTGGGCGGGCAGAGGAGCCCCGTCCTCGCCTTCCTGGGGCGGGTGAAGCTGGGCAGGGCGGCGTGACTTGGCACGCCGGCTGGTGCCCGGGATGCGCAGGCGCCGAGCTGCTTCCGCCTGAAGGTTGGTGGGGCCGGGGAAAAACCTTTAAACCTTTGGCAGGGCAGGGCAGAGTGGTGTGCTGGGGGCTCTGCTGCTCGCTGGAGGAAGAGGAGGAAGGTGCGCAGCCCCTGCCTTCCCACTCCCCGGACTTCTGCCTGCCCTATGGGGGTGGAGAAATAGAGCCCCACTGTGCCCAGGGGATGCTGTGCTGCTTTTCCAGCCAGGAAAGTAACCTTTTTTTATATATATATATGTGGCAAGAGGCATAGAAGTTGCTACAGGGAAAGTAAATGCATCTAAACCAATGAAATAAGGTGTTCATTTCCTGTTGGGAGGGGGCAGAAACCAACCATAAAAAGCTCCTTGGCTTTCCTGAGGGTAAAGTCATGTGAATTTATACAATTTGTCCCTTGTCTGATTTGGATAGATAATTTATTTCCAGTGCAGCCTATCAGACTGTGACTCCTGAAAGTGCTGGTCACTTGAACCAGCCTTTGTGGTCAGGAGAATGGGTACTGGAGTTCCAGCTTTCCTATTCTGGGTAGATATAGGTAGATCAGGTCCTACCTGATCAACCTCTTAACATAATGAAAAGTTTGGGAAAGGCTTCTGATTAAGAAGAGTATCTTAATTGTCCATGGAAACAGGAAGGATTAAGGCTGGCTTTCTGTCTCATTCCAGGAAATGGATCAGAGACTTTTCAGGACCTTGTCTGTGGCTGCCATTCAAAACTGGAGGGAAATGCCCAGCTCTGCCTGCCTGCTGCATTCTGCACCTGAAAACATCACTGCAGGACAGCTTATTGGGTAACTTGTAATAAGTCTGAGATAACATTTATAGGAAGAACATCCTGGGTTCTCCTTTGTCCCCTCACCTGGATGACTCAGGGGACACCTGCCTGGGCTGTGATTAGTGCTGTGACCAGTCAAGCTAACGTGATGAGTACATGTGTCTGGGTAAGTGCTCAAGTTGTGCTTATCTCTCTCAGCTGGCACTGGCATTGCTGTCCTTAGTTGCCCTTCACATAGACCTGCAGGACATCAAATGTACATGGCAAGCATTCACAATCTAATAAACCAAGATTTTCTGTTTATTAATTAGGTGAAACCACGAAGCCCTTAAAATAGCAACCTATCCTGTTTCATCATCCAAACTTGGAGCACCCCCTACAACGAAGGCAATGAGCATTGCACCTCTCCCATCCTTCAGTGGGATCCTTGGGCTCAGGTGAGGAACATCAGACATACAGAACTGTCTCTCTGACCATCATGGAGCCCACAGCTCACAGCCAGCAGAATGCATCTACGCCTACCAGCGCAGAGACAGCTGAAGACCTTGCTTTCAAGTTAAATGCTGCTCTGAGGGACAGTAATAGAAAACTTGTGCTGGAGCTGCTGGAGAATGGGGCAGATGTGAATTCCAAAGCTGAAAGTGGCTGGACACCACTGCAGAGTGCCGTGCAAGCTAATGATGAAGACCTGGTCCGGCTTCTGCTGGACAGGGGTGCTCGTCCACATGACAGGAAGGACAACGGTGGCACTGCATTTATTGAGGCAGCAATAGTGGGAAATGTGAATATACTGGAGCTCCTCCTTGATCGTGGGCTAAATATTAATGACCATGATGACAATGGCTTCACAGCGTTCATGGAGGCTGCATGGTATGGGAGGGAAGAAGCCTTGAAATTCCTGTACAGCAAAGGAGCAAATGTGAATTTGAGCAGGGCGGTTAGTGAGGAGAAAGCAAAACTGCATAAAGGTGGTGGAACAGCACTGATGGATGCTTGTAAGAGAGGCAAACTCTCAGTTGTAAAATCTCTGGTCCAAGAGATGGGGGCCGACTTGAACATTTGTGACAAGAAAGATAGGAATGCCTTGATCCATGCCCTCAAGGAAGGTGGTCGTACCAAGGAAGAATACGAGTCGGCAGTCTCCATAGTGCATTTCCTGCTGGACAGAGGTATTGATGTGAACAGCAAAGATGAATGTGGGAAAACTGCTCTCATCCTAGCTGTTGAAATGCAGAGCTCAGATTTGGTGAAAGCTTTATTGGAGAAGAGTGAAATAAATATTGATGATGCAGATGAGGAGGGCAACACAGCACTGATGGTGGCTGTAGAGAAAAACAATTACGATATAGCGAAGCTGTTGTGTGAGAAAGGAGCAAGGACTGACGTTGGGAACCTCATCGCCGTTGCGAACAGGAACCGTGCTCACGACATGGCACGTCTCCTCCGCCACCATCACGCCAGGTTTGTTCCAGAAACCCTCCCGGACTGGGAGCCACACAGCAAGCGCTGGAGGGAGCAGCTGAAAAAGCTTTACAGAATATACCGCCCCATGGTTGGCAAACTGAAGACATTTCAGTACGTGCAGCAGAGAATTCAGGACACTTCCCAGGGTGGCATCTACCTGGGGCTCTATGGTAGGACAGAGGTAGCAGTAAAAATAAGCCGCAGTACAGAGGGTGACAAAGAGAAGAAGTTCTTTGAACGGTGTAGTAACTGTGAACACCTATTGAAGCTCTTCCAGTTTGAGAAGGACAGAGGCTACATGTATTTATGCTTTCCCCTCTGGGAGAAAAACCTTGAGGAATATCTGCAGGAACCAGAAGACCAAGTTGTTTACAAAGATGCTCTGAGGATGATCTTCCAAGCAGTGAGAGAACTGCACTCCCTTGGATTTGCTCACCAGGATCTGCATCCCAGCAATTTTTTCATAGGTTATCTTTTGCTTTCTCAATATTTTTGTTTTTCTTCCCTGTTGCCTATAGTTTAGAGAAGAAGATGCTTCATAGCTGTTTGTAAAAAATGTCTTTATGCAGAATGGGGTGTCTCTGGCATTAGCTGTCCTCTTTGAATAAGTATAGACACTTTGGCAAACAGCCACAGAAGAGTGAACAGAAAAACTTCATGTCTCATTAGTCCTGCTCTCCAGGGCTTTGCAGAACAAATCAACCCACAGCAGATGTAGGGGATTGTTTTCTAAACAAGGGGCCATCCAGAAGTCAGTGAGAGACTGTATCAAGATTTTCCACTATTATTTTTTTAACAAGTTCTCTTATTTCCTCAGATTTAGGCGGCAAGATTTACTTGGCAGATTTTGATAATAAAAGAATGTCGATCGAAGGCAAAAAAGAATGCATAAACTCAGATTTAAAGGTAACTTCCTGGGAATCAATGTATGGTTTAAAATGTCAAGCTCTCTCTGGTATTTGCTGTTGCTGTGAATCCTAGGGGAAGCTGTCCTGCATCCTCAACTAGAAAACACCTTGATTTTTGGGAAAGCCCACGTAACAATAGACGCTGCATAAGCTTCAAAGTTTGTGTGCATTTGTATATTGCTGCACACCTCTAGGGGTGTGTGTGTCCACGTAAGCAGTCTGCTCGTATAGGGAACACTAGTCCCCTTCCATTTGGTAGGAAGTGTCACGCATCTGGCACGTGAGCAGTGATGTGTTCCTTTGCAGGCCCTCAGCAGGCTTGTGCTGTATGTTTTAACCAGGGGTAGGAAACCCCTTCATCAAGTCAGTATTGAGGATTTGGCTGCTGATTCCCCAGATTACAATGAGGCTCTGGACCTCGTAAATAGCCTGGTCTCTCCTGATGAACGAGGCTTGGAAGGTTTGAGCAAACATCCCTATTTCTGGAGCAAACAGACGTAAGTCCTGGGAGTACAAAGGAAAAGCTTTTGGTACAGGATTTGCCTGTGCTGCTGGGAACAGCGATGTCCTGTTGCATCTAATGAGGCTTCTCCTTCCACAGCAGGTTCAAGTTCCTGAAAAGTATATGGAATAAAATCAAAGATCTCCCCCATCAAAAAGCTGTCTTTCGAGCTCTTAATTCTACTGAATGTTCTCCTTATCCACGGTGGACTGAGGAGGTAATTCTCTTCTCTTTGGATTGGTGTGAGGTTTGAACTAGACATTTAGGCAGAAACTTTTTCCAAGTGTTTCACAGACCCTGTTTAAAAGCATAACTGGAAAAAAAGTAGCCCCACACAAATACAGGTAACTGGAGGGAACAATTAAGTCTAAGCCACATCATTAAAATGCACCAGACTAAAGACATTGACACTGAAGGGAGCTCTGTTGAGTGGGATGGTAGTAGGGGTTGTCGTTACAGAATTAGCTGTGGAACCTTCAAGGGTGTTCTTTGGTCACCCGTTAAGACAAGGACCTCTGGCTCTTGTTGCCAGCAAATTTCTGGTAGAAGTGTTTTGTTAGATTGGCTCAAAATCAATAAGACCAGGCCTGCTTTTGCAGGTGGCATCCTGGAAAGATGTGCTGCATCATTTGAGATCTGACAGTCTCGGTTCAGTACAGCCCAGGTAATCCTCTTGAGTGGCATGGCTGGGTCAAGACTCCTGAGCCCTTCCTGTCCTCCAGGCATGCATGGAAACCTGTGCCATGTCGACAGTCCTAATAGGAATGGCACACCTTGGCAAGGCAGGAGAGGAAATACTGAGCAGAGTCAGGGGGTCTGCGTGGCACATGCCCTGCTTGTGTTGGGAAACATGCTTTTAAGACGTTACAAGATTTACCCATGCAAAAGACAATGCTGCAGAAAAGACAATGGCTGTGGTGAGTGGAGGTAGATGTGCTGCTTTTGTGATAGGCAGAGAATAATCTATGTGCTTTTTTTTTCAGATTGACAAAGATGTTCTGTATTGGATGGAAAATCCTCCAAAAATAAAACCGGTCAAATATACCAACAACATCACTGACCTACTGAGACTCATCAGAAACCTGGACGAACACCCAAATTTCAGGTATGTGTTCCCATCCTTGCCCCTGCCACAGCTGCACTGCAGGGAGCATGCATGGCTCTACGGAAATGGATACTGTGAAAGTGTCCTCCTGGGCTGTTATTTTTGCTGCAGGCTGGTGTTTCTTGCCATAATTCCAGGAAGGTTTTTAGATGACTCTTAAATATTTGTATCATCCTTTATACCCTTGAAAAGCCTCCTTATCTACCTTGCTAGTATTTCCAAAGTGCGGATGTTTGCTGTGCTGAAGTGCTTTGAGATATGGATCAGGAAGCATTGGTCCTGTTAGAAGATCCTGTCAGGAGGTCTGGACTCCTAAAGAGCTGCCAGTCTCCAACCCTCTACAATCATGGGTGCTTACACACGAGGTTACAGGTGGTGTTAACTCCTAGTGATGGTTTCACCGGTGCTGGTGGCCAGCACTGCTCTTCAGTGAAGATACAGGTGAGATTAGGCAGATGGAAGTGCTGGAGGAATAGTGAAAAAAATGCATTGAGGAGATTAGGAAAGGCTCTGGAATAGCTTTTTCCCTGCAAAGGAAGAACCAGGACATCCAGGACAAGCTTTAAAAATCCTTCTTGGTTTTGTTCTCTTTCAGGATCAGCAGGATAACAGGAGATCATGCTGAGTATTTCTTGAAGCTTTTTCCAAAACTTACCATTTATGTCTACAACAGTTTACGCCAGAATCCCAAATACAGTCACTTTGCAGACATTCAGGAGCCTTCTCTGTAAGACGTTATTGTCTCCTGTCCCACGTCTGATCCCACCACCAACTCCTTTTATTCTATATTTCTTCATCTGCAAAAGTGTTGAAGGAAGTGGGTAAGAAGATGAGAAATAGCACGTGCAGGGACAGAGCATGGAGGACTTAGACTAAGGAAAGAAAGATGTTTGGTGTAACAGTCATGGGCTCTGGAAAGGAACCAAGTTGAATGCCAGCCCAGGTCCCCTTTGACTACCTCTGTCCTCTGAGTTTATCTGCGTCTGTATGGTGGAGATAAGGCCCTGACTGTAATGAAGAGCAGGGAGATGTGGGATAGCCCCATACACCCAACGCATCTGGGAGCCAGGAGAACAACTCTGGTGTTGCCAGACAACATGGGACTCTGATAAAGGAAAAGGAATTAGAGCTCCTTGCGAGGGCTGATATTTCCTACAGCTTGCACTGATGAGCTGCTCATCCACCCCTGGAAAAACATGGATTCTCCATTTTCAGTCTTTTTGAAACACAGCAGCCAGAAAATAAGATGTCTAGGCAACAGTCTGTCTGCAGTTGCCCTAAACCTGTTATCCCTCTGATCTGGTAGAGACATATTTAGGCCAACCTCCTGGGACCTGAAGGACTTATTTTGGGTGCTGCAAGAGATATTTCCACAAGGAATGGATGTAAGGAGCACAATCCCATAAAACTCTGCTACAGTGAGTAGTCCTGACTCACCTCAAAAATGTTGCTGATGTCAAAGGGACTTTAGGCACCAGTTCCTCGTGGAGAGGACAAGCTCTGCCATGGCAGTCTATGCACAAGTGCTCCCTACCTCCAGAACAGTGCTGCTGTCAGTGTATCCCTGTCCTCCTGCCAGGCTTGGCTCCCTGGCACAGAGATGGTGCCCACGCAGCCAGTTCAGAGCTTTGATATTGAAGGCTGGGTGGCACAAACTCATTTCTGAAATCCCACGGCATGCAACATGCGTCTGGTTGTCCAAGGGCTTGCATGTTTCTTAGCTAATGCTCTGATTTGCACAATGATTATATGTTGCTTGTGGAAATATTTTTCAGCTCTGGAAAGGATTTTTTTTTTTTAACTGAGATTGTTATTCTTTCAATTAGCCTATGGAGAACCAAACTTGGAATAAACTTGCCTGGAAAATGGACTCTACACTCATTTATGAATGAGTTTCCCCCATCCCCTCTGCACAGAAATATAGTCTGCAGAACTATAAAATATTCCAATGCTGGGATTTTTGGCCTCCCTGTGGAGGTGCCTCTTGGTTCTCTAGGGACAGTGGTGGATGGTTTTGTCACTGCTCAGATGAATTGCTTCTGGCACATATGGGTGTCTAATGGGAAAAGATGTTGGGAAGCACTGAAGGCTTCCCATTCTCAGAAGCAAGCTGTCTCTTGTGAAATAACAGGCTGAATGTTGGGAGTTTTGCATTATTTCTATGAAATGAAGGTGAGGATTTCACAGATAAGTTGAAGTGCAAAGATGAGCATCAGTGCTTGTGCATGTGTGTTTCCATACATGTAAGATTCTGGGAGTCAATGTGTTTGACCCATTTCCTCTACAATTGGGTGGCTGCCCAGAATGCGTCATGGAGCCCTCCACATCTGCTTAGCTGTGGGTGCTTACAGATGTAGGTACCTGCAAACCATCAGGCATTGCTGTGCATGAATCGCCTTGCAGACTGTCATCTGTGTGCTCGTGGCTCCTGAGGTCCATGTGACAGACTGCATCAGAGGTCCTGGCTCAGAGCAAAGGTCCTTCTGATGGTCTGGGAACCTTTTAAAATACATAAATGTAACAACAAGAAATCTTGACTACGCAGCTGTTGGTGTGGTGTCACTAGAGAAAACCAAAAGAAAGTCAGCTCTTCTCTTGTCAATATTTCTATTTTTTCCTTTCCTCTCTGCTCATTTTTTCTTCTCATTGTGTCTTGCTCATGTCCAGAAAGCAGGATGACACCCAGAGATGTGTGTCCAGGTCTCAGCAGTGTGGGGAGCAGGTGTGCTATGGGGAGCATGGTGGCTCCATGCCTCAGCAGCACGTTTCTGCTCTTGCACAAGGAGAGGTGGGGCCATAGGCAGGGCTCCTTCAGCCTCATTTGAAATGCCAAGTTTCCAGCTTCCTTTGACCTTTGCATCTTCTTGCACTGCTCTGCTGTTTTGCTAAAGAGCTGTGACTTGGCAGCCTTAAAAAGCTGTGGAAAGGCCTTCCTGAAAGCAGAGAGCACTCAAGGATGTCCGAACTAGAGCAACAATTAAACACATGGAGGCTATGGCTTGTCTCTCTGGGGCAATCAGGCTGCTGGGAAGAGCTTCCAGGGAAGTCTCACGTGGTCTGCAAGGCTGCTTTCTGAGAAGCCAGAGGTACTGGCAGGCTAGTTTCAGAGGAGAAACTTGATCTATGTAAGGCATCTGCAAAGCTTATTGCTCAGAGCATCAGGCCATGGGAAGAGGGGGGATGCAGGGCTGGGAAACGCTCGGGAAAATACCAGGCTGCCTCTCCCCCTTGCAGAGCTGGGAAGGATGGGTGAGCACGAGATGGAAAACCAATGGCAAGGGCAGCTGGACAGAATTGCAGCTGGGTGGTATAGCAGTGCCTGATGTTCCAGCCTGAGGGTGGAGGTGTCCTGGGGAGCTGGGGCAGAGCCAGCTATCAGAGTTAGTGCTGCTTGATGTGCTGATGGTTTCCAGAAACAGTGCCCATCTGGGAGGTGCTGCCTGCCTTTGGGTTGACCAAGCAGGCTTGTAGACCAAGGTCATGTTGATTTGGTCTTACATGCTTCATTCCACTGCTGTCATGCCTGTACATTGTGCATTTGCTGTGTCTCTGCCTTTTTCCTCTGCTCCTGCTGGGTGGCCCCAGGGGCAGCTGGCTCAGCGTGATGTGATGGCATCAGGTGCTCCCCATCTTATCACTTGTGTGCTGAGGACATGCTTGTGTGCACAGAGGTGGCTCCAGGTCAGTATGCATCATCTGCTGCACTGGGGAAAACCTGCAGGAGCAGTGGAGTGAAGATCGCTCCTAGCTGCGGTTTTGCTGTGTTGAGGTTCAGGCACATCTGTGAAGCCTTCTGGGGACCGGGCTCAGCTGGACTCAGGCCGCAGAGCCTGAAGTGCCAATGCAAAGCACAAAAATGCAGCTAGTTTTTGGGCTGAAAGCTTTGAGGGTAAAATCCAGTTACAGCAGAAGGGTGGTGTTGAGGAGCTGGTTACAATTTGTAGGAGTGGCATCGGCTTCCAAAGTCCTTCATTTACAGAAATGCTCTTAGACTTTGAGTTTGCTTCTGGAGGATAAAAAAAACCCCCAAAGTGTTGATAATCATAACTGACAAATACAAAACACAGAATCATCTGCCTTAAGTGCACCTGGATTATTCCCAGGATGCAATCTTCAGGACCTGAGGGTTAAAAAGTAGCTAAAAATAGCTCAAAATGGGAGCAGTCAGAGGCAGGGTGTGGTAAAGGTCATGGTCTTTTCTGCAGCTTTGTGCTGACTTGGTAAAGCCTTTCTGATTCAGTTTCACCTGGGGAAAATGAAGGTCTTTGATATGATTTGGTTAGTGCTTTGTAAGCATACTTGCTTTTAAAAAAACAAAACAAAAAACAACACAACCCCAAACATGCTGAGGTCCGGAGTCAGGCACAAGCTGATTTTGATGAGAAAATCAGAAAAGCTCTGGGAACAGAGGCACCCTCTGACCACCCAGGGACAGCTGAGTAGTAAACCAGGTGGGCTCTCTTAAGCCTTGCCACCCACAGGAGGTATTAAATCTGTGTGGAGGAGCCGAGGCAAGGCTGTGAGATATGCAGAGCAGAAGCAATCCCAGTCCTGGGTGAGAAGCAGGGCTCCCTGCATGGCATGGCTGAAGCTGCCTCTAGGGTTAGGTGGCCTTTGAGAGGCCCCTTCCTCAGGGAAAGCGTTTACTGCTTTCTGGCTTTAAGTACCTTCCAAATTTCTTGGGAAAGTCCTCAGAGGTGGCGTGATGCTGTGTACTCAGCGTGATTTACTTACACTGAGTCCCAGCCCTGGGCAATGTGGTCTTTTACGGACACATGTGAGGAAGGAGACTTGTGTGGGCAAGGAGATCTCCTCAGGCAAAAGCACATGTCGTGGCACGTCCCTGGTCCCTGCCCCCTGCCACAGTTGCAGAGGTGCAGGATGGTGTGTTATGTTTCTAGGCAAGCTGGAGGATGCTGGGAGTTGCTTTATTTTTAGATCTTACTGCTGATTAAGTGCAAACTTTGCAGTGTGTCTGGGTGGTTCAGCTTCCTTGAAGCACACCTTTGTCCTGCTTGGCACAGATGTGTTGGAAGGTCTGTTCTTCCTTGGAGGTCTTCCTCCTTCCCTTGATCCCTGCAGGGAAGGGAGAGATGTTGTGTCAGAGGCCAGAGCTGATGGAGGCAGGGTAAGGGTGATTGAGGATGAACACCATGGTTGTGTGCTCCCAGGAGGTGCGTTCAGGGCATGGAGAGAGGCAACTGGGGATTTTCTGTGAATGTTCCTGGAGTTGGTGGGCTTGACCAGCATCCTGCACATACCCACCCAGCTGGCCTTTGGGTTTTAAGAGAAGTCAGAGCCCTGCTGTTCCAAGTGCTTGTGCTGGTGTGGTTTGGGAGAGGCAGACTCTCTGTGTGACCAGCTACCTGCTCTGCAGGGTGGAGGGCAAACTTCCTGACTGAGAACCTTTTCTCAAGACTTTTATCAGAATCTGAGAAAAATGACATGCACAAAGTTCCCATCACAGACTGATCCAGGGAGACCTAAACCTCAGCTCCCATCCCAGCAGCTGGAGCAGGAAGGGACCTCTCAGCCCCAGCTCACCTTTTTGCTCCTCCAATGGCTCCGTTTTCTTCTGGGGCTGTGGCAGCAGGATCTGGATGCCTTCCTGGAGCGTGAAGACAATGATGGCTTGATTGCCTGGTGAGGAAGAAGAGATGAAACCCTACTGTGTGGCAGGTGAGCTGATGTCAAACGAGGGAGGACAGCAGGATGTGTTGTCCCCTTCGAA